GTTTGTTTAGTCTGCTTTCAACGAGTGACTTGTCTCAGTTATATGTAGATGTGCAGTACAACCGCTAGCCTGGGGTCTTTAAAGGAGCTGTGCAACGATTTTAAGGTTGAAATAATTTGCATCTTCTACGTTTGACATTGTTTATCTTGTCACAAACGACAAAAAAAAAACACCTCCTTCCTTCGAAATGTTGCGATTCCGCCGCGTAATCGCGAGGCAAAAGTCAGAATATTCCCCGACCTGCAGCCGCGAGCACACGGCACGACGTCAATGGGGGACTTGTAAAAAGATAGGAAGTTGCGCAAATACCTGGTCGATAAAGGGTAATTTTTCTATAAATCTTGTCGTTCCAAAAACCTGGAATCATCGACAAAACATTTATTATACGGAGTTTTAGTGGCGCCATCTATCCGTGGTCAACAAAACCATCATCTCTCTCTGCTACCGCGAACAGCACCTAGAGCCAGAAGGTTAAAAGTACTACACTCCGCGACAACTTTTCTTGGCAATGCAGAGGAAGGTACAGGCCCGTGTCCCCTCTCCCATTTTGAGTGTGCGCGGGCTCTCTTCTCCCCGGAAATGGGGGAGGAGGAGAGCCTGCGTACACTGAAAATGGGAGAGGGGACGCGGGCCTGTATTTTCCACTGCATTGCCAAGAAAAGTTGTCGCGGAGTGTAGGATGGGGCACGTTGCAATATTGGTGGAGCCTAGTAATAAAAAGTTTAAACGATTTTGTGCCCAGCGCGACCACAGATCTCTCTGGCGATTGGTGGGCGTGACATGTCACGTGTGAGATGGATGGTTGATTGTAGAAGGACTCCTTGCAGGCTTGCGCGCGCTCCGTCCGGTAGGTTTTATCAGATCGAAGGCTTAGGATCGGTGGCCGCGGGGTCTGGCGCACACTAAAGTCAGCGCACACCACCTCGAGCACGTGGAGCAAAAGCTCGCGCTGCAGAGCCCAGGAATCCTAGGTTCAATCCCCAGTACCCCATAGCAAGACGAAGGCTAGCTACGGTCACGTGATGTGGTCACGTTGGCATGGTAAGTGAGGAGAGTGAGGAGGCAAATGAGAAAGAGGCGAGGCGTCAAGGGAGCATGGCTTGTGGAGGCTACGCGGCCGACGTCACGCCCTCTCCCACCCTTCTCTCCTCCTTGACCTAGAGTGCCTTCATGTTCGCTTGACCACCTTCTCCGAGCGCGGCCGATGTTATGAGCCGAAGGGCCAATCAAACAGCGAAACAGGCACAACGTCATGGCGTGCTCTCTGCAGTTGATAGGACCAGCCGATATTCGCCGTGTCTCTGTGCGTGCTCCTCCGCCGGCTAGTCCTATCAGGCACAGAGAGCACGCCATGACGCTGCGCTTTTTCCGCTGTTTGATTGGCCCTTCGGCTCATAACATCGGCCGCGCTCGGACCGAAGCTGAAACGAAGTATAGCGAAACGCGGGCATGGAGCGGGGGGGGGGGGGGGGGGGGGGGGGTATATTAATTTTTGTTAACACACACACCACGAACCGAGGCTCTGTTAACAGATTTCATATCCTGCTGTTTATACACCTGCAAATTGTGTAGTGTTCACTCCCAGTGATATATTTTTTTATGCTAACTTAAGAAAGAGAATCTTTTTCAGGTTATTGTTCCCTGTCAACGCTACTTTTATCAACATTGTCCTACACAAATATTTAACATTATGTTCTTTTTCGACTGTTGGGATTTGCAGGAGTTTTGCCTTGTATCTCTGTATTCATTAAAAAGAATTACCACAGCAAGCCTTTCGGATTGAAACAGCGACTTGAAAATAATCACAATAATTGATATTTAAATTTCTGGGGAGTAAATTTTTCTTACAATATTTTGCCACCAAGGGAAGAGGCACAACGGCGCATACCCGTCGAGTCTCCTGCAAGAATGACGGTCGCTTCCCGCATTGCTTCTATAGAAAATGGCGTACCATTGCGATTCACACGATTACCAACAACCTCCGCGTTTCCCCGTGCCCCGTTGTTCGGCAGCACCATTAATTGCCTAGTGAATTTTACGATCGTGTGAGATGCGGGACATTTTGAAGATTCGGGAATTTCTCGCGGGTCGCGGAACACGAGCCCTCAATGCGGGACAGTCCGCGAGTCACGGGACGGGTGGTCACCCTACGCCAAAAGCCGTAGGGAGACGATGGCAGAGCCGGACGGCGATGGGCGGACCCGGACGAGACTTTCCTCCTTTCGCCATGTGGATCGCGTTGCGCAAGCACGTGGCCACGTGGTCGCAAGCGATTGAGTTCTCGCTGCTCACTCATGGGTTTAGAGAGAGACTTCACCGGAACCCCTCGCGTCCCCCATTGACGTCACAGCGCACGTGACTCGGAAGATGGTGAAGGAGTTGAGAGGTACAGAAAACCTCAATCTTTGTCCATTTTTAATATAAAAACGAGGACATGCAGGCAAAAGCGGTTTTTTGTTCTTTACTTCAGAAGGGTTGAGACACCAACTCCTAAATTATTTAAGCAAAGCACTGAAATTGTTGCACAGCTCCTTTAAAGGGCAACTCCGCTAAATTTCAAAAATTTTGGGATAGTGGCCGATTTTGCTTTTTGAAGCACTCAAAAACAATCCCCAATCCTTTGTTTCACGAAAAATAAAATATTTTTCGTGTAATTTTACTCTAGCCATGATCACAAACCGAAACCGAAACGGTGGCAAAGCCGGACAACATTGTATATTCGGCATCACTAAGCATGTACACCCACGTGATATACAAGGGGAAGAAGAAGCTCCCCTCTTATCAGGATCCTCCTTTGTGCCTCCTGGATTAGCACAGGCGTCGCTATTCTCCTCCCAGAAGATTATAGAAGATTAACCTGTCACTCAAAATTCTTACAAAAGCAGCTTCCCTCTCCTCCTTTTACATGTAACACAAGCCGCGCTCAACGAGGCGATCGGCTTATCAGTAGTATCAATAGTCGAGCGCCGGGCCGGCCGAGCGCGTCACTCACGTCTTTCATGGCGCTGGCGCCACCCGTGCTCTCCCCGGGAAAGAAAACAAAATTGAAAAAAAAAAAAAAAAGAAGCTGTACATGTTTGATGACGTCGCGGACGTGCCGGGAGAAGGAATTTGGAGGAAGCGGAAATGCAGCCGGGCAGTGTTGTCTGGCCCGCACGTCTCAACCAAAACCAGCGGATTCGTGCTTGTCAAACTTTGACAGCGATTTTAATAAACTTCTAGGCGGAATTCCGTCGTAATATTTGCCATGGGGTTTTTGTAGATGATAACAAAGAGAACTGTATAGTTCTGAACTACTGGAAAAGAAGCGGAGTTGCCCTCGTGCATCATACAGTAGTGATACACCACCGCACGCTGGTACGATGCTCATCCAAATCGAAACGGGCAAAGGTGGGGATTGAACCTAGGATTCCTGGGCTCTGCAGCGCGAGCTTTCGCTCCACGTGCTCGAGGTGGTGTGCGCTGACTTTAGTGTGTGCCAGACCCCGCGGCCACCGATCCTAAGCCTTATATGTCTCATCGTTCAGTGCTTGAGCGAAAACACGTTGACGACAGGAAAGGTACCGAAACCCACGGTTCGCTATTCGACCACGGGATGGCGTTACTTGTGCCAAAATCGGCGGAGGCGCGCGCGCGCAAACTCGGCGGGAGAGGAGGACACTCTCGCGACGTGCGACATTCCGTGAGAATAACGGCGCCAAAAGTGCGTTTCAGAGAGCACGCTGTCTTCGGAGGTTCGCTATCACCGGGATCGGCGCTTGGGCTTTCTCCTTCAAGTCGTACTAGTGTTAAAATCCCAAACAGCAGTGAGTTTAATTTTTCTTTGTTAATGCGCTCCGACCCCGTGGCCATGGAGGGGGGGGGACGGCAACCCAGGCCACTCCGCCCCCGGGGGGGGGGGGGGGGGGGGGGGGCAGCCAGGGTGTTTTTACCTAAACCGCACAAACTGGCAAGGAGGGACGTGCTCAAACAGGAGAGGAGGACGGTTGGTTGCTGAGCGTCTGCTGCCGTGGGGCCTCGACCTACCCCGCGCTCTCGGCGTTGCTTGAAACGGTGAAAGCTTCCAGGCACCTATGGAAGACGTTCGCGTCGGAAACCTTTCGATGTACTCTTTGTCGTTGTTTTACCATTATCTAACCGAAATAAAGTATTTGTTTTATTCGTTACTGTAAAAGCGGTGACTTCTTGGACCATCGAGATAACATTAAGGATACATAAGAGACCCTGTGAATATTTCTTTTAGAGCGCAGCTCTCAGGCGCCCGTTTCCGGCTTGAGCGGCGTCGGCGTCGCCGTAACCGCGAGGTCACGTGACCCCCCCCAAGGTCACGTGACCCCCCTCCCCGAGGTCACGTGATTCCTTCCCCCCGAGGTAAGCTGACCCCCCCCCCCCCCCCCCCCGGAGCATATTCAAGAATGAGGGGAGGAGAAGGAGGGGTCTACCCTCGCCTCAGTACCCTTCCCTCCTCCTCCTCAAGAGCTGCGCTCCGATTCGGCGTTACAGGGAGTTAGAGGAGGAGGGGTTAGAGGGAATTTATTAATTAACACGCACACCAACCGAGGCCCTGTTAACACACTTAATATCCTATGTTGTTTACACACCTGCTAATTGTATTGCAACAATTAAGCTCAAATAATTTTCACTCCCAGTGATATATTTTTATGCCAAATGTGTTATTACAGGTTTTGAAGTTGAAAACATAAAAATCGATAGTAGCAGAACTCAATGCAACAAATAGAAATAAAAAAACAGTAAATTTTTGGGGGTTATTGTTTCCTGTCAACGCTTACATTTATCAACATGATCCTACACATATTTTAACATTTTTTCTTTGATGTTTGTGAGTTGTAGGCTTGTTGCTTGTGTGGCAGTCTTCACCAAAAAAAAAAAAAAATCCCCAGCAACCCTAGCTTTCACATTGACGCAGTGATTTGAATTTAATGACACAGTGATTCGAATATAATACAACATTTTTTTTTTATTTCAACTTTTTGCGACCAGTTTTTCTTAATATATTTTGCCACCAAGGGGAGAGGCACAACGGAGCATGCGCATCGGATCTCCTGCAAGAATGACGGACGCTTCCCGCAATTGCTTGGATAGAGAATGACATACCATTGTGATTCACCCGACTACCAGCGACCTCCGCGCTTCCCCGCGTCCCGTTGTTCGACAGCACCATGAGTTACAGAGTGAATTTTACGACAGTATGGTAATGCGGGAAATTTTGAAGATTTAGAAATTTCTTGCGGGACGCGGGACATAAGCCCTCAATGCGGGACAGACCCGCCAGCCCCGGGACGGGTGGTCACCCTAAAATCAATGATTGGACAATATACCCTTTCAACCAGAAGGGACAGAGCTGGTAAATAGACCTCTACTTCACTAGCCTACACCGACGATATTGCACAGAAAAATCAACTAAACATAACATTCGATCTCAAAAGCGACAGCATATAAAAACTTGCACACAATCGCATATCAGAGACAAAAAAGCTACGGGAACAATTTGCATTAACACATCCATGGACAACATCACGGCAGAACTACAGGCGGGAGAAGAGTAGGGAATACACAGAACACTGTACTAGTGTAGCAGCGATATAGTAGGCAGAAGGACGCGCGGCTGAGGTAATTAGCTGGGCGCAATGGATGGCTGTTCGGTGGGAGTAGTTCCTCAGCGCTCCGAAGGGGCCCCCTCCCTTTGGACAACTCCGAGCGTCCGAGCTGGCCGGTGGATCGCGGCTCTCTTTTGGCGGTATTGGTTTTGGTCGCGTCAAGTATCGTTATTCCAATGTTTAGTTCGGATTGCGCGAGTCAGAATTAGTTCAACACTTGTCGCCTCTTGATCTTTCTTTTTTATTTTTGCTTCTTATTTTTTTTTTGTTCCTTCTGAGAAGCTTATCAAGGAGATTCAGTCGTATTTGAACGACGTGCTGGCCTTCTACTGCTTCACGCGGCGCACAGCCATACAAACATTTAGAAGAGGCGCACGTCCCGACTTGATAACACGAACGCGTGCATCGGTTGTAGAAAACGTATAAAGAAATCTGCAAAAAATAGCACAGCAGATACGCGAGCATATATATGCGCTGTATGCTACACAGTCGTGAAGTGCAGTGCGCATAAAACGCATGTTTTCAGATACATAAGGAAACATATTTTGAGTGAATATATTTTAACTGCCGCCAACTTTATTCTCGCCAAAATCAACTCTATTCTAAGAACAAACAAAGAACTTATTTTTGCATGTAATGATCTAAACAATCTGAAATGAACAAACTTCGAGTTCATCATATAAATAATTACGCGGTCTCTTAACTTTCTTGCACGACTTAAAACTCTGGTGGGAAACACGCCCGCACACGGACAAAAGAAAAGAACAGTCTATGAGGAATTGAAGCGGTTGACTAGATCACACAAATAAGCCGGTGGGACATTTCATCGAGATGCATGAGCTTGCACTGTCATCTATCCCTAGCAACTTCTGGGGCGAGCATCTGTTCACCTTGATGATATGCTTGCTACCAAATTCCGGGGAAGTCGCATACACTTTGCGACCGCGAACTTTCGTGGTCCCATTGGGATCCTCAAAGGACACAATGTTTTGAACTTTTGCAGTGATGTTTCCAAGCCTCATGGCTGTGCAATCGGTTCTCTCTGGCTTCTTATACCGTTCACTGTGGAAGACCAGTCCAGAAATCCGGACTCTCTCGTGCTCCACAACAGTGCCAAGGGTTTGCTTTCCGTTGTGACTCTTTACCAGGCCCAGAAGTGGTTCATGCACTACGCGCGGCTTTCCCAGTAGGGCTACTGGCTCCAGATTAGTTGCGGTGCACTGCAAGAACTTTCGCACATGGGGACTAGCAGCTGTCTTGCATGCATTTACCTTGTGCCCCATCATTACTCGCGTCATCACTTGATGAGGCACACCATTCGCTGAGGTAACGAAGTTCTTCAGTCTACCCATGCTCGCCTAAAAGCACGAATGCGCCTACAAAGGCCCTTGTAGTAGCGCGCTCCTTAAGAGGTAAAGCAGTTGGTGCACATTCGACGTCATTTCCTTTTCCAAGTACAAAAATTGAACGCCAGCAACAAATCGGTACAGACAGTCCGTGTTCTCGGCTACATCGGAAGTTGTAATCTTGTCCTGGAGCAGCAGGAAGGCACCCTTCACAAGCAAAGCGAAGTGATTCAAGAATCGCTCTGGCAAAATGCCCTTTTGGCACACGAGGCTAAAAAACCCTAGCTTTACGACTTTCCTTAATTTGCTATAGTTTAGACTCTAAAATCCATCATTTGCTATAGTTTAGACTCTAAGACCACGGGGGCTACATTTAGTCCTGTGGTTGTAGCTGTCAGTGCCATGGATGCCGCGCGATGAAGTGCTGAATTTTCATGACTTCTAAACCTTTCGAATTCTTTTTTCCAGTTCTGAAATCCACTTTTAACAAAAGCGGTATACGCATCTTTGTTTTGCGAAATACAGGGGAGCGGAAACTTTTTCTTACTAGCGGTTACGCAGGAGGCACAATACACCTTACCGCTCTGTGCCTTGTACGAAAGCCGCACCCGTAGATGGATTATAAACTCTTCAAAAAGCCAGCCTCGTCCAATGTTGCTTTTAATCGATGCCGGTCGAGTATGTTCACGGCGACCACAAGAGCCTGGCTTGCCAGTTGAAGTCACATTCACGATCGATGAAGGGGGTTCCAGGACGTTGTCCACAATCGCGATGTTGAGGGACTCGCATCCCTGGGTGTACGTACACAGCCGGAGCGCAGGTCTCGCCATTGTCAGGAGAAATGTCGGCAACAAGGTCTTGCGTATGCGTTCTGGGTGCTTCAGCTGACAACCACGGTATTTTGATGAGATATCTGTCCATTGTGCATGTCCAGGACCTACACAAATATTGAAACAATTGGTGTGTAGTGGTTAACCATTGAGGGCAGGGGTGCTAAACTCATGATGTAATCCCGAACAATTTCGGGGGCACGTGAATATAAATTTTAGAGAACTTAAACACAACATCTGGAACACTTTAGAGTACTCAGATATCTGATCCACAAGATTTTGGAGCACATAAATTTACATCTTAAAGATTTTGCGATCGTCACGTCAGACACACGCCGGCAGAGGAACGTGTGAGCAGCCCGTTGCCGCTCCAGGTTTCAGGAGAAAAATACCGCAATCTTGCGCGTTTCTGCTGTTTCATGTGTTGTCTAAAGCCTTAAGTATTTCAAAGCCTGTTCTCTACTCCGCTGTAGGTAATCGATCAGTTTTTGTGCAGTGTCTGAGTAGAACGTTACAAGAAAAATGCAACCATAGAAACACAACAGTATATAGTGTCAACGCAACATAAAAAATATATAGATATATATATATATATAGAAAAGGCACAAACCGCAGTTTTATTAAAAATAAATGCAAGCACCAGAACTTGAATTGCGCATGAATTAGTTTTCAAATGCGACGTGGCTTAGCAATTACTTGCCTTCACTCTATTTTTATGTTATGGTGCTCACGAGGTTATTATATTACCGAACACAACATGTGTGAATTTTCATCTCTATCTTAAAACATAATACAGACACACATATACTGCCATAATGCAGAAAGTTGGGCTAGTTGGTATAGACCATTCCATTTAGCGCTCTCTGGGCGGCACCATTTTGTGCGACCGCAGCGCCCTCTCCACACATCCGGGAAGTTCAGCGGGTTCGGCGGGGCAAAACGAGAGAGAGGGCACGCGCACGACTCCGCTAGCAGACGACAAACCGGGAGGTTGCCGTTCTCCATCTTTGGGCTGTATCGGCGGGCTCTACCGAACATCGAACTCTCGCTCGTGGCTACCGTTGTGAAGTGGTTCGCGTTCTTAGAATAGTTGTGGCTACTCCAAAATCAGCCTATAGCTCTCTGTTGTTCTATTTTGCTAAATGATCAACTAGCATATCTTTTTTCCGTTACTTAAATATCAGTTGAGTGAGCCGGCAGTACTACCCTCAACTACTGCTTGGATTGCCGCAGGAGAGCACGTTTTATTTATTATTTCAGACTTCCACTCACGGTCGCTAAAGGCCTACACTAGTACGAACTAGTGTATAGTAAAAAAGGTACAGCAACCGGATTTACTTTTCGCCAAAGAGACCGGCCAATCTGACACAGTTTTCCCAATATTTTTTTTTTATTTGCACGCAGGTAACAGCGCAATTGGACCCCGTGAGTCTTTTTATCTAGCATAATATTACACGACAACTGGCATACCAAAATCTGCGCATCTGCGCTAGAAAGTTCTAAAATGACGCGATTTTAAACAGAGTTTGCACGCCAGCCGGACGCTAGCTACAGCCCACTCGGCGGAGCGTACGTCATGCGGGGTGAGAGGGGGAGTGCATTTTTTTTCTCTTTTACCCTCTCTGCTATGACCCTAATGGAACGGTCTATAGTTGTTATACACAATGATAAAACAGCGCAAAAGGATATAAACGGATGCGACACACCGGATGGAACAGAGTACTGAGACGCAACTGGATTAAAATCTAGTTGCGAGTCAGCGCTCTGTTCTATCCGGTGTCTCTCTTCCTTTTGTATATTTTTTCGCTGCTTTATCAATATGTATAAATCATATACTGCACAACACGGTTAACCGAGAACAAGACATCGTCACTTTTTTTTTTTCTTCGCAAGCCTAGAACTAAAGAGCATCATTTTATAGACGGGCATAATTTTAGTGTATAGTTTTGGATACAGTATTTTAGTTTTAAGAGAAAAATAGGCAAAACTGGCGATCGTTTGGTCGTATTAACTATGTGGCGCTCTGTACCCAAGCAAAGTAAACCTCGGCGAACGTTGTGAGGCTGATTTATTTATTTATTGACTGCACCTACCAACAGCCAGAAGCTTAACATGGTAGTTAGAGCATTATCTGATTATAACAAAAACAGACAGTTTAGGTACAATCATGTAACCCAACGCATGATCTGTTATTCTGGGGCTCCTCTGTTGTGCTCGTCAGTATGACAAGGTACACATTATGGGTTTTAGCATGCACTTCAATTGAAACCATAGTCTCTAAATAATTATGCTCAAGTTACGTAAAATGTGAACCTCTTCAACTTGAACGGGACTTCCTAATATCATGCGTGCGCCTTTCCCGAATAATTTCACAGTTCACTCCCGCATAATGATGATATAGCCATTCCCAATATGCATAATTTGGGGATTTCCATTTGTGCCTTTGAAATTCCCATGAAAATAATTGACAATATCCCGCTTGGTCATAATTATAATAGCCTTTGTGAAAGGATATAAGAAATTTAAAACTTTGAACTTGTATGCAACCTTCCTTTATGATGAATTACCTAGTTACTATTTCCACATAATATTTAATGCAATGGTGCAAGGATGTATGGCACCACTCTAACTTTTTAATATATGATTAAAATAAGGATCACTGTAAAAAAACCAGCGCATGTGCAAATTGGTACATATATATACCGGGTGTTTTTGTTTAGTTGGGCCAACTTTGCCAACTTCTACGAAAACGAAGAGCTGCATTAATAATAATACTCGTCTTGGCGGCCACTGCTAACAAATTCGTTCGTGGAATTAGGCCACTAATTAACAATATATAGTTAATTAACTTTTTAATTATTTACTTTGGAGGGCATATTGCGTTTACGCAATTGAGACCGAATTTTCATACGCTCCAACCGCACGCTGAAATTAGCGCTGAAAAACGCGCTACATGCGCCACCGGCCAAATCATACGACGATGCTGTCACTCTTTTCCCGTTCAGTTACGATTTGAAACAGCCTGCGGAGGTGACATTATTTGTACTACCTCCGCAGCGATTCTTTTTTTTTTTTTTTTGCTTATTTCTGCGCGCGGTTGGAGCGTAGGAAGATCAGGCTTCAATTTCGTAAATGCAATATGCCGCCTAAAGTCAATCATTAAAAAGTTGATTGTTAATTAAATATCTCGGTTAATTAGTCCCCTAATTGCACAAACAACCCCGTTCCCACTTACCGCCAAGTGCGGTAAACTAATGACAAAAATTAAAAGCGTCCTAATGCCACTGTTCATTTTTTTTTTCTTTTCAGGTGGTACGTTTGGTTCGACTAAACAAAAACACCCGGTATATATTTAGCTATGTTTGGCTAAACGTCTTACCATCTGTGCCAACCAGCAACTCCGGTGCATCTGTGCATGACCAGTGCGGAGTACGCATGCACGAGGATCACTCGTAGATATTTTAAGCAAAATATTATGCGCGCATAAGGAACTCTTTCAGTTTGTATAGGAGACTTTGCATAAGCTGAGTTTTATAACATATGGTTGCTTTTGTGTACATCTTCTTTTTTTTCACACACAGACATCCGTAACATAAAACGCGACTAGATTCCAGCCACGTGCAATGACGTCAGATATAATTTCAAAAACATTTTAAAAGACATGCAACCATTTGCTCCTAGTTTTAATCTCGTTTCATATACACACATTAGGAGTTCGTCCAAGGATGTCGAAGACATATATTTGGATACTGACCGAGCAACAGTATTTTAGGCACATACAAAACAGTCAGTACAAAGAGTCGGTTCACGTTAGGTGAGGATAATAACCAACACGCTTGTTGCCTCAATTGGTTACCTCGCAGTGTTCGCGTCCACCACATTTTAAATAAAACAGCAGTACAGCATAGGCTCTGTATGAAAGGCCACTGGCCATCTAAGATTAGGGGTTTGCAGAAGAAACAAAACGCTCACCAATATTGAACTTGAGCCGTGCATTGATGAAATGTTGGCAGGCCAGGTACAGAGCGCCTTGAAAACTTCAGAAGGCCGCGTGTCGGACCGAGGAGTGATACAAGTCTGAGATGCAGACCTGGCATATTCTGTTATATGCTTAGACGCTATTGTTCTTTCCCATTTTCCTTCATTGAACGTTGCTGGTAAGAGGATGTCTGAACTTCTAGTTAGTATGTGTGTCTTCGTAAAATGTGTCGATGGGTGTTTTCCGATACCAGGTGTCTGCTGGAAAACGGTTGGCGTTTGTCGGATTCGCGGCATTCGCCTCTTTCGGTACCTCATCGCGGGCTTTTCCTTCTCCAAAATATTACTGACCAATCGAAGACGCGTATCAGGTTCTTTTTCCGACATTTTTAAGTTGGGCCATAATGACACCTATTTGGAGACACTCACCGAAGTAATGTCACCGTTTTCCCTGGGCTACCATTCCTCCTCTTTGTTGTAAAACGCTTCAAGCTAGCTGTTGTCAAAGCAGTGCTCGTATACATTGTTTGACAAGGTGAGCTGGCGGTGAAGTTTAAAAGGGTGCGCAGTTTCTCTAACCTAATCCGTTTTGAACGACCACCTCGTCTTTCGTCTAGTCGTGCACTACTCTTCAGCCGCACCTTACAACAGGCAGCCAGCAGAGCTCCAAGCCGAATGGCGCTGCCCATTCACTAAACCAGCCGAAAGACCGCCGGAAGAAGAAACGAAAACCCCTCGGATTTTTGTGCACCCTTTCCTCTCCCAAACGCGTCGGGCTTAGTCGTGTCGCCTGGCGTGACGGTGCTTCCATTCCTCGCCCGGTGTCTCTATAATCTTCGGCTCACCCGAACGAAGACGCCCCTCGTTGTACGGTGGGCTCAGCATTTGTGCGCGCCGCCTGTCGAATGTAATCGGTCCTTTTACAAGCGGCTTTTAGCTTATCGACACGGCCGGTTAGAAAGCCATTCGTCTTCACTCTGATGGCGGGCCTTAGGCGAACTTTGGCCAAAAGGATAGCAGCC